GAGAGAGAGAGAGAGAGAGAGAGAGAGAGAGAGAGAGAGAGAGAGAGGGAGAGAGGGAGAGAGAGGAAATGCTATTTCGCTCACATCAGTCGGACCCTCCTGTGTTCCGGTGCATTTCCCTGAATGATAGGCGACTCCGGTCGACCCCTCGGTAACAAATCCGCTGAGCTATAATTTCGGATCATACAAGTTAACCAACACAAAAACACACGGTGTGATGTTGGGGAGGGGGTAAAAGGGTCGCTCATCATTTCGGACTGGGGAGTTGGGGGCTCAGTGCCTCATGTAGCCTACAGGCTGCTAGTAATATAACATCTGAAGATCAGTGATTATTAGCTTTTGCACTCAACTTGACCCCAATAATCACCACTGAGACTTTGAGTTGTTCCAGCCATCCCAGGATATTCTTTTAATTATTTTCATTTGATACCAGGAACTGTGCTTATTTATATCCTAATTGTGCTACTCTAGAGTTTCTAATTATTTTTTATTCCAATCTTATAGAAATATAAATGGGTATGCCCCAAAATGGATTCTCAGTTGGCTTCAGTCCTGACCAGGGGCAGCCTGGATGTCCAAAATGGCAGCCACTGTGCAGAGGGATCAGGGCCAGTGACAGAGGTTTCTTTGGACCCAAAGGAAGAAACCTCACCCTGTACTGTACCAGGTAGCCTCCAGCCATGCCCCGATGAAGCAGCACTGACCATCAGGCAGTCTGCACCATCTATCAATGGGAATAAGCCAGAGGTGGGCGGGACTTCTATGCCAGCCTCTCAGGAAACAAGTGAGATTGGTGTGTTCAGACAGCCAATCACAGTGAAGACTGGCGTGCCTGTGTTACGCAGCCGACCAATCAGACTCAAAATTGTTGTTCCCCTACGGTGCAAGAGGCCAATCACAAACTCTGCCATCAGCCTGACCAAAGACTTTGCTCACTCACATTGTAGAAGACCTGTGTCGGTCTCAGCTGGAGCAGAAAAAACAGGTAAAATACTAATTTCTGCTGTTAAGAGTGAAGAAGAGATCAAGGAAGTTACTTATCATAAGACTGAGGAAGCTAAGCCAGAATCATTCCATGAGGAAGCAATGTGCAAAGACAAACATGTTTCGGGTGTTAAAATCATTCACACTGATGGGTCAGAAACTCCTTTAATTTCAAGCACTAATGCAGTTAAAATATTGAGCCTGAAAGGGGTTAAAGAGGAAACTACAGAGAGAAACATCGAGGAAAATATTCCTCCAATATTCAAAGCTATGGACTTGAAGTCTTGTTTGACGTTTGACGAAATGGGAATGGAGGAACAGACGGAACCACTGGACCTGACTTTGCCCAAGAAAAGAGAGAGTCGAGAGAGGAGGTGTGATCGCTTTCTGGATGACTCTGGCTGCGAGAGCTCGTTGATTATGGAGGTGGATGAATATGAGGGAGAGGGAGACAGAGATATAGTAGAAGAGGACGATGATGGTGAAGGAGAGGTCTCTGTGCCACGTATGGACGGCACAGATACCCTTGAAGACTCTCTCCTGTCTCCCTCCTTCTTCTCTACCTCGGTCTTTACCTCCCTCTCCTCTATAGACTGTGACTCTAAAAACTTCCTTCTCATAGACGACAAGGGAATACCGTACACGCTCAATCCAGATGGACTCAAAGTGCCACAAGTCGATGCTTCAGAGGATCAGGTAGAAGGATCGGGGTCACCTCAAATGTCCACGTTGGCCGAGCCTAGCCTCAGCCAAAGTTCAGATAATGCACTAAATGCACCTTGTGATCATCTTTACAACTCACCAGCCCCTGCTGCGGATTCTCCATCAGTAAGTGCTGATCAAACGAAACCTACAGAAGTCTTCACGGGTTTGATTACAAACTCAGAAACCTCCGACGCCGTGGAGCCAACTGTTGAAACTGTTCAGGAGGCTAATGCTGTTCTATCAATCCCCACTCAGCCCATTCAGATCCTCACTAACCCTTCTACTAACACTGCTTTTCTCCTGCTGTCGTCCTCCTCTTCCTCACCTCAGCTGTCCTCGGCTCGGGTGGGTCTCTCGCTTCCCCTTACAGTTACTCAGACCTCCCCTGGTGCTTCCAACCCAATGTTCCTCCTCCTTTCATCCGTACCCTCTTCCTCCGGTGACTCTGCCTCTACCTCCACCCCGATCGCCGTCCTCGACCCTACGACCGGTCAGTTGTCCCAGATCATGGCGTCCTCGGCCCCCGTCTCCCTCCCTTTGCCCCCCAGTCATGTCAGCACTCTGGGATCACCTCTGCCCACGCTGTCCCACCCCGTCATCAGACTGAGCCCCAACATCCCCCCTGACATGCTGTCGGGAGTGACCAACGTAAACTCTGTTCTCAGCTCTCTCACCGTCTGTTCGCCCTCTCCTGCTCTTCAGAACGGCCGTCGCAGTGCAAGCCTTCATTCTCAAGTCAGCCCTTCCGATTCAAACCCTGGAAGTGAAGCCATATCTGCTGAAGGAGTCTCAAGTGAAAACAACAAGCCATCAACTTTTACAGCATCCTCTCCGCACCCCCAGTCTGCTAGTTTTACCTATGAAGAGGCCCAATCACCAGCTTCCGAGCCCAGATTTGACCCGTCTGACCTGCACTCGGAACATTTACCTCTGGACGACCATCTCTACTTCTCCAACGCAGCTGCTCCTCCCTCCCCTCCCGTCGGACCCGTTCTCCCCTCTGATAATCTCGACCCGCTGGATCCTCTATCTCCAGAGGGGTCGCCCAATGACATGGCTGCCCGCAGGGTGCTGTACTGCCAGCTGTGCCCGCGGGTCTTCTTTTACCTCTCCGACCTTGAGCGCCACGCCATCACGCACTCGCAGAAGAAGCCTCACGTTTGCCAGCAGTGCGGCAAAGCCTTCAAGCGCTCCAGCCATCTGCAGGTCAGTTGCAAGCTAATTATAACCATAATTTCATCGGCAGTACAAGTAATAACATCAGTCACTTGAACAGATGTCACTAACTTGTGCACTGACTGTTAAAACTGAAATAACTTATTTCTTGGTTAGTCACATGCAACAGAAATGAGCTGTGAACACGATCACCTTATTTAAGTAGATATGTTAGCAAACAGTTGCTTATTTATACATCCAGCAGACATGGATTAATCAATGCACATGTTAGCATTGATTTGATGTTTGTGGCTTATGCATAAGCTCAATATTCACTCTCATTTAGCTCTGGGTTTCACCAGCTCCTGGGGGAAATATGTAACTCTTTAGCTGCTAAACGCTTCACTATGTTCAGCAGCTAGTCTCTGACTTAGTCTGTCTGTCGTTTGGTGCTGAGCAGGTCATGCACAGTGGGTGTTTTAGAGCTATTTAGCTGAAAGCAGCCGCCTGCTGCGACCGAGCACGCTGCTGTTAGAGCGGTGAGAGTGAATCGCAACGATGAGCTGAAAGATGCTACGAAGCTCTGCAGAGCTGAGGTGTCGGCTGATGAGCCTTGATGGGTTCATCACTACAAGCGATCGCTCTCATATACAAGCAGTCATGTGATCCATTGACTATAGGCACTTTTGATAAAAGCGCTGAGCGATAGCTTTACAGATTTCTGACACGTTTACTGTTTTCGTTAACAGAGACACAGGCACATCCACACAGGCCAGAGGAACTTTGTGTGCCCCATCTGTGCCAAACGCTTCAGGGAGGCCGGCGAGCTCCAGCGCCACCAAAGGGTCCACACCGGAGAGAAACCCTACCAGTGCCAACTTTGCCACACGCGATTTGCCGAGCGCAACACGCTGCGCCGACACACCAAACGCAAACATCCTTACCACCAAGTAGCCATGGAAATGCTGAACGAGAGAAGGGACAGAGGAGGAGGTGTCGGATCCGGAGTGCAGGACGAAGAAGAGAGCGCTGAATGGTACAGCTCCACGGTGTCTAATTTGGAAAGCTCAGAGTCTGAGATGGAAACTTAAAAGAGTTTTCTGCAGATGGACTCCAAAGTGAAGGGGAGGAGGGTGATCATATGTAACGCTGGTTAAACACTAAACCTTTCTCATTTATTAACGCTAAAAAAGGGAGCACTTGCAATATTTATTTCAGTGTTTTGAAGCTAATTTATTTATATGAATGTATATTATTCACATTCCATGTGGTGGTCAACACTTCAGCCAGTCAAAATTGATTTTGACATTAGCCTTTCCTGTATGAAAAAAGTTGCATATACGCATATGAAATGGGAAAGCTCATGCTTGAAATCGTGGTTTTTCTGTGAGTTCATAATATTAGTTCGACTGCTAACGTGCCCCCCATGAAGACGCATTCCCATACAATCCATTATAAAACCCTCAAGTGCTCCGAAAAGAAGGATAACTTATTTATTCTAAAGGGTCCTCTACACTAGCTGTGTATATAAAGAGTACTTGTAAGAGCTGCACTTCTGCACTATCTTATGTGAAAGATGTAATCTATCTTTCTTACGTCAGAGACACTGTGAGTCATTTGCACTTGTTTTATTTCAATTCACTTTTTTTTACATTGTGATGGAAAACGCTTTATCTTTTGTTGCAGCTGTATTTTAATTAACTCGTCATGTGAGAGTTTGACCAAATGTTTTTGAGTTATTCTAACAAACACTATATTCAGAATTTTGTTTTTGTTTGATGTGAATTATGTTAATTTATTTGAATTAAATTGTGTCAACTGTAAATGATTCTTTGTACCATCCTTTCTTCCACGTTAGTGTGTCTTTTCCAAATGTTTAAATAATTGAAGTATATTGGACGTGTCTTTTCATATTAATCACATACATCTCTCCTTGATAATGAACACTAGGGCCATATCTCCCCTCTAATTTAAGCTGATCCTCAGAGATGATTCTCTTCTCTAAGTTAATCACCAAAGATGAGACCTGACTTCACATGGATCTTTGTGAGGAAAAAAAAAAAATGAAGATACCTGATATATATCTGCTGGACTGCCTCCAGAGAGTAATTGAGTTTGTAAGACCTCTGTTTTTTTTTGCACACTCTCAATTTTCTGCTCCATTTAAGCCACCGGGCCTAACAGAGCTCGGCTCAAGATAAGTTATTAAATACTGGATTGCTCAAATGACCCGAGTGGGTCCTTGTGGCCGACCCTTTCCTTATTTCTACGCTGGTCATCGTGCGAATAGAGATGCGCTGGCGTGCTGAAAGGCCTGCGCTATAAGCTTCATTCTACTTTAGTTCGGCAAACTCAGTTTTATAGGCTCGGTTGAAGGAGAGAGGTGTGGAGGCTGTGAAGAGCAAAGGTTAACCAAGCAGAGAATGAAGAATGTGCTGCTGAGAGACCGTCTGTTTTTGGAGATAGTGGAGACTATTTGCTGTGGTAAAACTGAAAGAGCCGATGTTTAATGCATATGTTTCTGTATAGGGATTCTTGTTCGTTACAAGTTTTTGATTTTTGGTCCACAAAGGAGTCACACAGAAATGATAAATAATGCAGTTTAATACAATTACCATTTTCAGCTGTCGTTGTCAATTACTTATTTAATGGAGGTTTTAAATTTGTTCAAGTTTATCTTAAAACAATGCTCAGATGCAACTATGCTACTGTTTAGGTCTGAGTTATTGGTCACTGTTATTGTTCCTCTTGTCCACATTGGCTGTAACAGGATCCCCTCCTTATACAATTTCAATGTACGAGATGGAGGGAAAAAAATCCACAATCACAGTTCAGTTCAGCTGAAGCTCATATAAGTCGTATAACGTCCGAGTTTGACAAAACAACACAATTGACACTTACTGAGTTCCACCACAACTCAACAAGCAAACACTGATCTGTAGCTGTAACGCATTCCCACTTTATTTGACTTAAGTCAGACTGTTGAAGCTGCATATTAGCTTTAGCTGAACTGAAGAAATCCTTTTTGTACAAAAAAGGACTGTGTTTTGTCCCCCATCTCTTCCACTGGAGACACGTTAAGAAGGAATCTCTTCAGGGCCAGTATGGACAGGAGGAATGATGACAGCACCAGAGTACTCTTCCAATGAACATTGAGTACCGGTATATTGAGTGAGTCATATTTTTAAATATACTTAACAAATGTGAACATATCATCTACTATCTATAATCATGTTCGGGGATTGTGGGAAACGTTGCAAATAAGTGAGCACGTCTGTCATTTTTTTTACAATTTGATGAAATTTCAGAATTCAGGTTAACTTTGGTTAATTTTTGCCAACTTTCTATGTATATGTTTTTGTCTTTGTTTACCCTCGTTCAAACTGTCCTCACCTGATATTCATGGTATTCATTTTCAGCACAAACTCAGCCATCAGTCAAGTATAAAGCTGCCAGGAGCCCAAAATACAATGGCGAGCAAAATATGCAATTTATTTGTGATAATTACCTTAAAAGTTTAAGGTTATAACAAATATAGTTTCACTATTTACACACACACATACAACAAGAAAATACAATAAGTTAAACTATATTACAGTCGAGAGACTTTATCCAGACTGTATGCAAATCACTGAAAATATGAATAATTCCCAGCTTTTACATTTTCTTTCAATACGACATGTATGAGAGGAAAGACCCACATCAGCACTTTCAATTGCTTTTTCAAGCTTGTCTCTTCATTATATATAAATAAAGTTAACTATAATGAAAACATTTCCATGTGGTTATTTTGCCAATAAATAACGTGAGACACATAATAAATCCCATTCACCTCGATTGAAGAGGTTAAACAAATTTCCCATTCATTTCACTCTGTTACCCTGCAATGTAATGCAAGCAACACCTGATTGATTGGTTAATTAATTACAGTATTCCCCTCCTCATTGGCCCTAACTAACAATCGCACCTTCTTGTTGTAGACGCTCATTGAAGCGCTGCGTACATATTGTTAAGGTGACTCTGAGGATTCAGCCATTAAATCAATGCTGTTCTGTCAGCAACACAAACATGATTCTGGTCCCCTAATTGACACCACTGGACTGCTCCATCAATGAGCCTACAAGGTCCTCAGTGCATGATGATGATGATGAATATTCAACCGGCCGAGTGTGTGAGATCAGCAGTCCAGCTGGAGATGTGTGTGTGCAGTACAGTATAGTGTGTGTGTGTGTGTGTGTGTAGGGTTGGTAGCTATCCAGATGACACACAGCTTCAAAGTGCAGTGACTGACAGACAGATGGATGATGGACAGAGTGCAGACAGCAATCTGTGTGGTCTGTGTGTTTGAAACCGGCCCGTGTCTCTATGTGAGTGTGTGTGTGTGTGTGTGGGGCTGATGTGTTCGTATTGCGTGAAGTGGAACAGGCAGCAGGGCTTCTGAGTGGCACGAGGCACATGGCCAAGTGATTGAAGTGATAAAGGTAGAGGAGGAGAGGAGCGAGAATAGGCGCAGTGATGAACGACCAGGGAGAGGCAGCAGATGTAATGAAGTGTGTTAGACTGGTATGTTTCAGCCTTTTACTCTCTTTGATACATTCGGCACTTTGATAGGTTTGTTGTATATCCGCTCTGTTGCATCACACACGTCCCATTAATGCCACTGAGAGCCAACATGATGGAAAGCTAAACTAACCATGGAAGGATTTCTTTTTTTCTTCTGTCGTTGCACAGTTCAGCCATGAGAGGGCACACTCACACTTATGATGTGTTGCATGTACTGGCTCATTCTCTATGCTGCCTCTCAGCTCTCTCAAATGGTGGAGGGATACTTATACCAGGGTGAAAGGCAGAAAACAGTGAGCTTGGGGAGAGCTGGATCCACATTCAATCTCTGCTGTTTCAGCAGCGAAGGAGGCAGGTTTGACATTAATATGGAAATCGTCCATGAATATGCTTTTATTCCAAGCTTTGTGATGCTTCCTATAGCCTGTGGGTTGCAGGGTCCTGTACATAGAGATGAGTCCAGAATTAAACAGAGAAATATGATATTTCACAAGGGAAAGGTTAACAGCGTGCAAGCCTCTTCGCTCACCAGACACAGTGCAGGATTAACACTATGAAATCTGTATGTGTGTTGGGGAGAGAGAGTGTGGGAGGGAGGGGGAGAGAGAGAGAGCGAGAAGAAGAAGAGTAACAGGTGTTATTCAGAGAGGGAGTCCAGGCTTTTGAAGAGAGGGTGTGTCTGTGGAGGGGGACCAGAGGAATAAGCAATTACATCACCTTTCCCTCAATAACACGCCATGCTGTCAGTGCAGTGATTGTGTGTATGTGTGCGTGTAATGCATTTACAGGACATCAGAGAAAAAGCTGTCAAAGGTGAGATTCTATAATGACAAAAAAAAAGCACACATACTGTGCAAATGGCACAAAAGAGCCATCCGTCTATAACCATGTATTAAATTTAAGTTCCCATTCATTTTGTGTTCCATTAGTTGTGTCATTTTGTTCCATGGCAACCGTAATTGGCCCACGCGACGCTCTCTCTGCTCTGTGTTCTCTGATTAGTGGCTCTCCTTGTCAATCTTTCTTTCCACATCAGATAAAATGGCAGCAACCTCCTTGTTTCCCCATATCAGCTCCAGCCCTCCTCCTGTCCCCCCGTAGTAAAGACTTCCCCAAGTGTTGCGGCCTCCCTTCCTCTCCAACTTTTGCTGTCCCCTCAGCCTCACCCTTCTCTACCTCCCCTCTCTGTCTCCCCCTCTCTACGACCTGCTGAACCAGCACACGCCGGCTTGTCTGTCAAATCGACAGAACAGGTGCTCCAGCGACGACCTCACTTCCCCCACCTTTTTCCCTCTGCAGCCCTAAGGCACACGTGCACACACACACACACACACACACACACACACACACACACACACACACACACACACACACACGCACGTAGAGAGCATGCACACACAGGCAAACTCTCTCCTACATGTTCACTCAAGTTGCTTTGGAAGGTTGAGGTGAAACTCGGGTGATTTTCCTTGGCACCAACGCTAATACATACTGTAAAGTATATGCTGACGGACACTGACTTACTGACCTGTGACTCTCAGTGGTGTCACACACTCACACACGCAATACACACACACGTACACTTCCCCGCAAACAGTGCTAAATCACTTTAAGAGGGTGACCCAAAGGTGTCTTGACAGGAGCATATGAGCCTGCAGTCTTGCTGCAGAACATGATTTGATGGGAGTCCAAAACACTCCCGGGCTTTTCCCGCTGCCTTGTACTAAACTGACTCTTTATCCCGCTTCACTCTTCTGTCACATCACGTTATGTGATAATTCTGCTCCTAACATTTACGAGCCGGCCTTACTTCATCAGTGTGTCTACTTTTTTTGTCAAATCAGTCAGCAGATAACAGAGTGGGAGTCAATGGCTGTTTAAAGGGAGGGGAGGGGAGGGGGGCGAGACCATGGAGGGGGAGGGGTAATGTTTGACAGTCACTCACAGTTGGCACCAAGGATCCAGGATGCTTTGGGGCGGATGGGAAGAGGGGGCAGAGAGAGCGAGGCAACGGTAGTGAGGGTGAGTTTCTATCGGAAGGGGACGAAGGAACCACTGATCCTTTCTTCTCTTTGCATTTCACCTTTAGGGGAAAGAAGAAGTGTAGAAAACGGGCGAAAGGAAACAAAAAGGATATGAAAAGAACATGAAAGAAAGGAATCGTCATTAAACACACTACGAAGTTCTTTCTTTCCCTCTCTTCCTCCATCTCGCACCTCTCTCAGTTTAATCTTAAATCCACTCCAATTTCCCCAGAGGGACTCAATTCTCTCTTTTCCTGTAAGTATTCTCTTTCATTCTACTGCTTTTATTCTCTCAGTGTTTTGCCTTCTTGGGCCTCAGTGCCCTACTGAGAAATAATACCTGTGCCAGACACTCAATCAATTGCTTGTTATTTGATTGCATTAATGAGTGTGTGGCCTTCTTTTTGGACTCATATCGTAAATAAGTGAGGTGTGTGTGCATTTATGGGATTGGGAATAGGAAGGGCACTGTGGTGATTTAGAATGCATAACCTATTCCACAGCACGTGTGTGTGTGTGTGTGTGTGTGTGTGTGTGTGTGGGTGTGTGTGTGCGTGTGTGTTTGTTTGTGTGTGTATGTGTGTGTTTGTCCATTCCCTTCAAACAATCTTCCTTTGGGTGTTGTGTGGCTGGCCAGTTCAAATCAATATTGTTAATCGGTTATGTGTGTGTGTTTTCGTGTGTGTGTACTAATGCAGCTTATGTAGATTCCCAGCTCTCCCGTTGAGAGGCGGCTCCACTTCTTTTAGTGCATGACACATTTGTCTGTGCTGCTGTCACTGTATAAGTGTGTGCGTGATGCTGTAGGTGTCGCGAGGTCATGTTTTGTCTGTCACAATCGGTGTCCTCCGGCCCTGACGTCTCAGTTTCTGCTATAGGGCCTCCATCTCCGTCATGCTCCTCCTCTTCCTCTCTTCCTCTGGCTCCTCGCTCCGTCCCTCTAAAAGCCTACTTGTCTGTTTAATTCTCTGTGTCGTTAGTTCTGTCTCTGTGGGTGGGCCTCTGTGACTCTCTGTCTGATTATGACAGGCTGTCTACAGTGAGGCCTGCTGTTGCCAGATCAGCTCACTGCAGTGCTCAGTCCGCCTGTAGGTCTGAGAGGCTGGCTTTGCGTCTCTATTTCCCCCTCCATCTATCCCGCTGTGCTTTGTGTGCCTCTATCAATATCGGTTTGTGTCTATCAGTGGATTAACAAGCATCTGTCTCTCTCACTCCCCTGCTTCCTCTGCTCCCCTGCAACAGTGAGAGACAGAAGGAGAGGGGTCCATTCCTCCTGGTAGAGTGACACCAGGAATTTCCTCTCTCTCCTCCCCAGACCTCCCCTCCACCATGACGCTACTGGCCTCTGAGAGGTCTCTTCTCATCCGGAACAAGTTCCGCTCAGGTGAGGAATCCTGCTCCTCCAATTAATGGAGAGAAAGATTTATTTTCCCCACAACAATGGCTTTTCATCCCGTGCAACAGTATGTAGAGTGTTTATGAGGGTTATTGGCTGGTCCTTCACATTGTCTAACTTGTGATCGATAAAGTGAAGGTATTGATCACGGTGAATGGCTTCAGTGATTGATACACAGATATGTCTTGAATTGAGGTGAAGACAGCTGAGCCTGAGGCTAAAGTTCTCTGCATGTTACTGCATGGCACCTACACCACAACATGCTCTGGTTTGTTGATAAGCAGGAAAATCCTTTTATTGTAATCCCCTTTTAAACCTCTATAACATTAAATAGTAATATCTAAATATGCACCAACCAATGTTAACGGTATTAATGATGATATCCTATCACAATCAGTAAAGATTTTTAAGATGTTGAGGGCAAAAATAATCAAAGAATAGCTGAAATGAATTCAAAATGATATTACTGAGTTTTATATATCTGATGTATTATTCGAACAACTTTCAGCAGACAACCAGCATTCTGTGACAAACAGCATCGAACAACCTTCCTGTAACTGAATAATTCAAGTTTCCCTACAAGTTGTAGCGGCTGTTGTGTTCTCAGGCAGCTGTTGTTAACGGCTGGTAAAATAGAAAGGCGGGGATATGGCGTAGACGCCGTCCCTTAGGTGTACAAACACCTGCTGGAAAACATGATTCCTTAGGGCAGCTGCTCTGTTTGACATCATGTGTGTACATACAAGAGTCTATGCTAGTCTATAAAGTCTGCTGGTACATCAAAGTGATGTTCATCCTTTGTGGAAAAAACATTGGCTGTTGTCAGTCATTGTATAATATGACACAGTTGGTTTGAGTTCATTGTTCAGTCGTTAACAATTGTATCTGTTTTTGTTGGCTATTGACACAATTTATTTCCAATGAACATCACAAAGTAAGCATAGCTAGATGTTAAGGGTCAATGTTAAGAAAAAGTGGTAAACCTTGTGTTTAAAAAATAGCTCCCAACCCTTAAAACAAAATCTACTTGCAGCTCATATCTATTAGTTGTGAGAACTTCATAAGATTGTTTAATTCGAAAGATTTTAAGAAGCCTGAAGAGGTAAAAATACATGAAAAATTCAACACTTCTATTGGGCCTTCAGTTAAAATATGAAACAATCTAACAGTAGAAACACACACACACACACACACACGCACACACACACGCACACACACACACACACACACACACACACGCACACACACACACACACACACACACACACACACACACAGACATTGAAATCAAACAGAAACTCCAGTGTGATAAGCACAGCGTCCTTAACTTCGCACTAATCTGCTCTAAATCACAATTTTTAAAAGGTTAAACTTTTATCTTGAGGTGCCAGAGAGTAGTGTAGTAGTTAGTGTAGTGCACAAACGAGGATGACGTGAGGAAGAGGGGCTGTATGGGAGTCTGGTGGAGAGAGCGGGACAGCTGAAGGGGGGATGGGATCAACAGAAATAGACATACTGAGAGATAAATAGTAACTCCCCCTTCCTCTCCCCTCCCCTCCCCTCGTCAGGTCTCTCAGGTCTCAAAACTCACCGATATCACACCATGCCCTACCCTGCTTCACCTGTTTGTGTGTGTACTGAATACTATTGTGCATATGTGTGGTGTGTAGATGTGTGCAGGCATCCAAGGAGATATATAATCTATATGCATTGCAAAGTCATGGGGTAATATACATTACGAGGCCATATCATTTGACAGTGATCATGCTGTCCTGCATTGCTCAACTCTTACCTTTCTGCGTGTGTCAATTCTTTTCCCCAGATCATTTGTCCTTCAAATCAAACTGAATTACTGCTCTATCAATGCAACTTGTAATGCTTCAATCTCTTTTTTTGCCTTTCAGTCCTGCAGTTGAGGATTCAGAACCGAAGGCAGAGTGAAATCAATGCAGACCCTGGTTAGTTTATGTCTATCAGTTACGTTGTTATTGATCCCTGAACACCATGATTGCAGGGCAGATTTCATATTAATGATCTTCAGGTCGCCCTCTCTTCACTGACACATGATTCGTTAACTTCTTTGTTGGTTTTACTATGTTGACCAGCTTTTACTTTCCTTTGATATCACTTTTGGAGTCAAAATGTTGTGTTTATTTAAAAATTGTGCAAGATCCTAGAAGTTAATGTTTTCATATTATATTGCATATCTTTTGTTAACAATGTTAATAAAATTTGACATTTATACCATGAGCAGGATGCAAAACTGTCATTGTATTCACAATAAGAAGTCTGCACAAAATCACACATACAGCAGGTATCAGAGATTTACGAAGAAAAAAAAAACTAGCATCTTCTAATATTAGAGAGTATTGAATTGCAGATAACATGCAATGATTTCGCCAAGATAACATATGTCCAAAACTAACAATATGCTTTAAATATCTGACATTGTTTTAAGATAAAGCAGCAAATAAATTGTGCAGCAAATGTAATAAAGACTAATCTAGAGACATGGAAAAAAACCAAAAATCTCAAAGTCAGTCTGTGCACCTTGCGTCAGTTCCCTCCTTGTTGTCTGAGGCTGAAGCAGGTTGCACATTCTGACGCCTGCCAACATAAAAAGAGCGCCTCAGATGCTCCATGCTGTAACTTTGAGGGATGAGTTGAAAGCTGAGAGTGCTTTGTTGATGCCCTGGTTCACCTGAGTTGCTCCTCTATCATGTAGTGTAGTTTCACCATACCACCACATCTTGTCTGTTTCCATAGGGTTGAAATCTGCGTGCTCCCCTAAAAAAGCAGAGAAAGACCAGAGTGAAGCTCTGGTAAGTAGCATCCAGTTTCTGAATGATATCCTACAGCATTACATTTCCACACTATAGATGAAATACAGATTTGGATGCGAGCCAAGTTCCCATGTAAAGAAATGTTTCCCTCCACATATGTTTTTCATTGATATTAGATTGTACAGTTGATTATATTTGGTAGAACAGGATGAGACCACATTTTTGTTTACCTGTCTTACAGTTTGTCTTACTTCCATATAGCTGTGCGTTCACAATAAATGAATTAACATGAATTGTGAGAAATGATTAAGTGTAGGTCAGTGTTTCCTTTACTGTTAAATGGGTGAGATGGTCTTCTGTGTTGAGCCATCTCACCCACAGACTTTGCAAATGTTCTGGGGGGAAACACTGGTGTAAATTAGTATTTCATGAGGCCACATTGAAGTGTTATTCAGCTTTCCCCTGAGTGAACTGCATTGTAATCTGTGGGCCCTGGCTGTTTGACCTGCTGTTTCCTGATGCAGCGTCTAACTGAGGGTGGCGCCGCTCAGAAGTTGCCCCCTTGTGGTCTGAATACTGAAACTGCACAAGGTGATGCCCTGCCTACAGTGATGTTGCTGTCTCCTTCCTGCTTTACCCTCTGTGCTCCTCGGCAAAACAAAATAGTGGCACATTTCCTCTCTCTTTCTTTCTGTCTGTATTTTATCATGTCTGCTCTCCGCTTCCTGTTGTACAGCACGAGGAAATGAAGTGTGCAAATCTGGCAATGGGCTCGGTGTTTCATCAGATGTCAGTTAAAAATATATGTGACCTTGTTGCACACTGTAACTCTGCATTTTAAGCAGCCTGCATACATATCAGTGATTGACAGCTCATGATAAACCCACCCATCCAGAAATCAGAGTCATCGTTTAGCCCACTGACATCTTTCTCGCTTTATCTTTTCCACACCATCTAACCTTCCTTTTAATTTGAAAAGACTATTTTTTAAATATCAGGCTTTACGAAACTATCTGATTTCCCTTGCTGCCCTTTTAAAAATGTTGTGCGAATGTGTTTGTATGTGTGTTCACATCCATGGGGATACATCTCCCTACGGACAGGAGTGTTTACAATTTTTTGATGCCTCTGCTGGTTTGAATTGGGACTGGCTGCCTGTGGCAACACTGCTGTGCATGCTCACATCACATATGTTCTGAAATTATTTTGCTTCTCTCTCTCTCTCTCTCTCTCTCTCTCTCTCTCTCTCTCTCTCTCTCTCTCTCTCTCCTGATCTCCCATCTGTCCCATCATCTCTCCACTTATCCGCACCGTCCTTGTCGTCCCCACAGAGAGGACTGTGTGCGGGGCCCAGAGGCAGAAGAAGTCTCGTCAGACGCAGGACCTCACTGAGAGGATCCAGCGTCCACCTGGGCCTGTGGAGCCACAGCACAAACACACACTGCCCCTGGAGAACCGTGAGTCAACACACATATGCATGCACCAGCACACACAGACAGGGTCATACACATATTTTTCTTCCCTTCAATTTTTTATTCCAATCTCATCTCCTCCTCCTTTGACCTTACCTCCTTTCACTTTTCATTTCCTCAGGCCCTGCCTCTTTCCCTCTGTCTGCTGATGTCTTCGAAGATGACATTTCCTCCTGCCCCTCCTCCTCGCCCACAGAACAACATGGCGTTCACCAATCACCAGCCTTTACGTCATTGCCGGGGCTCTCAGGTGACCAATTACTGAGTGACTTCTCGGCCGTGGGCCCGTTCCTCAAACACAGCCCCGTTCACGCTCAGGTGGGGAAACAACACTGAGATTTAGTTTAGATTAAGACCCATGTATGGCAGCAACAAGGAAGTAGTTCCCACCAATATCCTCACATTAACAGACTTGTGAGTTTATAAATAGCCTCATATGTCAACTCTGATAATCTGATATTCTGCCTTCAGTCTGGTTTGGCGTTGCTCCCGGCAACCGAGGGCATCAGACAACCTATGAGTGAATCAAACTCCATGGCAACAACTGGGAGACCAAATGGGATGTATCTGACCTCTCAGACCACACCCCTGCTGCCAAAGGTAATGCGGGGTTAGTGCATGTTAATGCTGTCACATGACATATTGCCTTGACTTTCATTCGGTGGCTCATTTGAATTTCATAAGGGTCTCTGTTGTTATGAATCTTTTGACAACTCCTCAAAATAACATTATAATCTCAAGAATGACAGAAATACATGCGGTGATATTTAGATTGTGTACGTGTGCATGTGCTTCCTACAGCATAGAAATGAAAGAACTTGTAGAGATCTTCAACCAAATAAGATGGTCACTCGTCTGTTTTGTCAAACACAATGCTCTGCAGTAAGCTGCTCTGCATTCATTACTGTCAATTTGCACTTCTGGGGGAGCTCAGTATTTGCCCTGTAGGTTAACACATTCACACACAGGCATGGCTGTATGTCAGAACCAGCACATGCTGTCATCTGGAGATTTGTGAGCATTTGTTCATTTCATGTAAGAGTTTAACCTTGACATGGGGCAAATACAGTTAAACAATGTGAAACGATTTTACATTTTCTCTGCAATATTCAACACACTACTCTTGAAATCAGTCACCAGGACCACAGTTAGAGTTGAAATGTGGGTAATGTGTGTCTTTACAGACAGCACGGCCCCACAGCCCAACCTGCTCCTCCTCATTGCCTTCCTCCCTCAACTTCAACCATCTCCCCCGCCCACGGAAACCACGGGACACCAAACCCAAAATGAGGAAACTCAAATATCACCAGTACATTCCTCCAGACCAGAGAGCAGGGTCTGGGACTGGAGGTATAATGCTTTACTTTCCAACATTTATTAAAAAAATATTTTCATTTGTCAAATCAAGTCTTGCTCTTGGAGAGGTGTTTGCATTCATCCGAAACAATTGTTTATTTCCAGGAGGAGCCAAACAGAAGAGCCCTACTCCGACCCAGTCTTTAGACCCAGCCTACTCCCATCTCCTGAAGCAGCAGCAGGTCTTCCTCCAGCTGCAAATCCACCAGAACCAGCAACAGCAACTACAACAACAGCAACAACTACAATCACAACAACAGCTCACTGTTGTTCCCAGGTATGCATATAGATGGCTGTAATTCTAAATGAGCAAACTAGGCAGATCTCTTTATCAAGGGATTTTAGTCCTCAGATTGTTTGGTTGAGGTAATGCTTCTGTCGTTTCCTTCAGCGGAGAGCACAATGATGTGAAGTCCTCTGGAGCCATGCCCCTGAATCCCCAACCTGTTCCCGCCACAACAAGCCACAACCCGACAGACACAAACCCTGCGTCCAAGCCTGAGATTCTCCCTGCAAATCTTGTTGATCTAACAGTAAGACATTTATGAAAGCACAGAAATAATGACTATTTACAAATGAATGGTGAAGACAAACTCTCCTTGTCCTTTGCCCATCCACCTTCACCTCCTCCTTTTCTTCAGGTGTCAGAGTTGCGGCAGCAGCTACGTAAGCGTGGCCTCCCTGTCTCCGGCACCAAGCCTGCTCTGTTGCAGCGTCTCCGCCCGTTCCAGCTTCCCCACTCCTGCCTCACCCCTGCTCCCCTCTGCCAGCTAGGTACCAGCCTGGAGCCGCTCACCCCCTGCCCCTCGCTGCCACCCAGCCAGAGCCCCGGCTCAAGCTCCAGCTCTGGACGAGACTCCCCCAGCAGCAGCCCGAACCAACAGATGTACGTCCCGCACAGGGGAGTTCCTAATGGGATTCTCAATGACGCTCAAAATGGAATTCTGAACAGCGTGACGAACGGTTTCTCGAATGCTGCGCCAGTCAGTTTGGCTGGTGAACAGTGTCTTTCCAACGCTGTCTTCCTGGCTCCTGCCAGCACCGCCTCAGGAACTCCAAGTCCCAGTTTACCCATGTCGTCGTCCTCGCCCATGCAGTGTGGGACTCCTTGGAGAACTGAGAACGAGCAGCAGCAGCAACAGCAGCAGGAGCTAAGTGTGGAGCTGGAGATGAGGGAGAGGTTACGGAGCAGGCCCAGGGACCACTCCACTATCACCGGCAACGAGGTGAGCAAAGACAGGCTTGTTTGTTTGGTCTATGAGGAGTGGGAGAATAACAGGATGACTGCTTTCCAGAACTACAATCATTACGTTTTTTTTATTATTCCTCCAGTCTTGTGGAGGATCCCTTCATCCGTTCCTGCAACAGGATCCTGGATGCTCCAGACGGAAACCAGAAACGGACACACAGACAGAGGTGTTGTTTACACAGGTAAACACACAAATCAATACACACACACATCTTGGATAAATGCTTTTCAAGGGCACGCTACGTAGTCTTCAATCTAGAAAACTGCTCAAACATGTGAGCATACTCTCATCACCCACCTGTCAACTGATTTCCCCCTGCTTTCCAATCAGGTGTTTTGCTGCCAGCCGTGTGATATGATTGGCCAGGATTTTGAGCTGCCAGTGCAGATTACAGCAAGTCCAGTTCAGACGTTGTCCTGTGTTCGCAGCTTGGAGGAAGAACTACAGGAGGCTATCCAGAAAGCACAGGTTAGAGTCTGTAGATGAAGTGGAAGAGATCACCTGGAGTTCCTTTTACACAGTGGGATTTAAGTGTTTCTTTTGGCCACAGATGGACCCTCGGCAATCCATAGATGACATTCTGGATGAGCCCCTGACTTGTGTTGGTAAGTATCTCACAATTAATAAAGAGCACAACTTAAATGGCACTCGCAATTTCTTTCAGTGTCTAATCTATTTAACTTCCTCTCCTCCAGGCTCTGTCAACGTCTGTGATCATAAATCCCCTGCCCACTCAGTCCCCGGCCCTTCGCCTCATCCTCCTTCTCAAGCCGATCAGTCCCAGGCCTCCCAGCTGCACAAGGATGACAGCTTCCTCCCCTCCCCTCTTTGCTCCTCTCTCTTGCTGGAGCTCCCTCCGTCTCCTGCTGTTATAAACCCCAGCCAGGTGATCCCAGCTCCACTACCACCACCACCCATCTGTACTTCCCCTCTGCCGTCCACTGGGAAGTCACGTAAACGACGGGCTCCAACATCGTTTGACGCTGCCGACTGGCTTGAAACTCTGACGTCCGGCCTCCGTCCTCTTACTCCGCCGGCAGCTCCTTTTGTTGAGTCAGACTTCAGTCTGGATTCAGATCTGAATGTCAGTCGAGTGTTGGATCTAATGATAGAGAAGTGGTGAGGATTTGTGTGCATGCATCTGTTTGTATGTATAATAGGTCAGTGTTTCTTGATGGTCATGAATGGGGCAAACATGCATCCCACTGAGGGAACAAGATTGTGAATAGCGGCCTCCATCTGTCCATCCTTTATTGCAAGGCTGTCAGAGTCACTGGCTCCACGCAATGTGGAGAGCTGGATCCATTGCAGCGAGCAGATTAAACATGGCTTTGATGGGGCATCGAGAGCACAAACACACACACACGCACACAAACACACACATAGACGCTGCAGAATGCTGTTTAAAGGCACTTGGGCTCAGCCAGAAATGGCAAACAAGCAACACATCTGTGGATTGACACACTCGACAGCACAATGTTTGCAGTGCAAAACAAAAGAAAACCTGGTGGCATATTCATTTAAACATGCTTCCTGGTTGCGCCGGGAGAATGTTGTTTCTGACTTATCTCCAAGAACCGTTGTCGGATTGGGTTGAGTGTGGCCCCTGGTGTTGACTCAGTCATTGAGTCCTAGCCATTCATGAAGCCCATTTAGAGTGTGTAAAAGCCAGACAGAGTGCACAGCTTGTGTGTGGCTCCAGACCTTAACCCCGGTGCCAGACACACAGTCGGCATGCAGAGGGAGAAAGCTGGCAGAAGTTGCAAACAAGCGGTGTGTGTGTGCGTGCTCTCGTGTGTACATGCGTGTGCGTGTGCAAAATCTTGTGTGTTGTGTGAAGTATGTGTGCGTTAAATATGTCTGACTGTGTGTGACTGAGGACATAAGGCTGCTTCTGTTTTGTACGTGTCAACACCCAACTGCTTCCATGTACATTTATTAGCATTAATGCCTAATGCACTATTTATTTGTTTGCTTGCAATCAAGTGTGCGTGTTTGTATGCGTAGTATGATTGAACTGTGAGAGGATACATGTGAAAGACACAGAAAAAAAAGCTGTGGATCTCTGCGTCCACATTTCAGACCAGACATTTTATTGTAGGCTCATTGCCAGCAGGCAGTAACTCCAGTGTAGTTACCCAGTGTAATCATCAGAACAGCCACATTACCTTGTTCAAGTCACCATTCTCCAGGAGAGCAATCAGGCAACCACCCCAAAAATAGTCCCCATATAAATGCTCCAATCAGACAAGTTAGAGTTTCCTCATCGCTTTGCAAAACAGGTGGTCATTTTGTTCCCTGATTAAGCCCCTACCGTGTCTGGCCCGCTGCACGGTGCTTACCCTGCTACTAGCAAAGCCAGATTTAGCACAATTTATAACCCAACATCAAGGCCGCACCTGTTCACTTAGTGTAAATTAATTCCACGCATGTATCATTTGACATTGTTACATCTTTGCTGTATATTTCAATATACAAAACGACCATTTCTATGAAGAGAGAAAATGCACTGTAGAATTAGCACAAAATAATATGTCTGGAGAACAGGTAGCATGACCAGAGGAGAACTTGTCTGTTGAAGCTGATACGGTAAAAACTGCACATTTTCTTAATGGTGACAGAGATCTTGCTTTTATATTCAACATGATTTACTGGCCATGCAAAAAATGAGCACATTATTTGTTTGCATAATACACTTTTATTGAGTTATGTCCATTCTCAACCCCACTTAACATAATGACATTAATGATAAAAAATCTGACAGAGGTTAGCTGCCATTAACCTCTGCTGTACCACATAAATGTAATTTAGATAGAAGATCTCGTCTACATGAAGTTATATTCTGCCCTTAATTGGCTGCATGTCCCATCAATCATTCATCAGAGCTCTGATTGGCTCATTCATATCTGGAACATTTGTATAATCTGACAACTAACTCGATGTCCTTCTGGAAGACCACTTTATTTTGAGAAAAAAACCCAGCTTTTTTCCCTCCTCATTCTCCAAAGTATTGTGTTAAAATAAAAGTTAAGTGCCAAGTGCAATATGATTTGTGTAAAGGGCACATCAACTGGCAGATCTGAGGTTATCATGTCATGTTTTTTGTACGCAATTATTTCAGTGTTGCTGCCAGCAAGTGCCTTGTTCAAATGATAAACCGGTGTCTTACTACGCAAGACAGCCTTGGTAAATTATTGGAAGAAGACATCTGTGCATAGGCAAACCTTCAACACACAACTTTATGTTGAAGCAATTCTTGTACAGCTTTCACTACAGAGACTATGAAAAATGCAGTTGAATGTGGAAGGATGGCTATGATAATCATAGCGATCAATAAACATGGCCTGCTGCATGAATAAAAAAAGAAAATTGATTGGCAGGAGAGTAAGATGCTACCTCCTGTGACTTCCAATGCTTTAGGGCCAACCCCAGTGTTTTCCTTGTTACTTCTTTAATTTCCGAACACTGGTGCAGAGGTTCCTGGAAGACTCCTGAGACAGTTTCACAGGTTTGACTTAACCGCAGGTTTGATACTTCTGTTTTAAACTGGGGTTGGAACTGTCCTGAAATAGATTTGGGGCTGGTTAAGACGCATGTAAACTGGAAACACGCAGGTGTTTAAGGTAACTAAGTCTCTGTTGGCCACTTCTGCTGCTATAAATGCCTTGTTGTAAAAACGTAAGAGAAAATGTTTTTGCTTTTATTTATTATGTAACTTATTAATGCAAAAGATATTAACCACTGTCCAAAAATGTATTTAAAAGCATTAAGAAAATTAAAGTCTTAATAGATTTTCTATTTGGTTCCTCTTTGTTTTTTTAGTTTTTGCTGCACATATGGCACATTTAAAGGATGAACAAGTGGATTGCTTTAATAAAGAAAGAACGAATTATTGATAACTGACATATTTCACAAGAAACTGTCCCAAATGATGTCTCATTAAATATTGATGATATAGTAAAATTAAATATTAATTTGCACCGATATGCTGTTTAAATATCCATGAAGCAGCACTAACATCCACATGGCTGCATTGTTAATCTTCATAATGACACAGAATTGTAATGTGGAGAGAGAAATGGTGTAGCTGTAAATAAAAAGCGGGATAATATATGAACTCCAGTCAGTGATCATCACGAGGCAAGGAACATCAAATTAAGCAAAAAAGACAATAATATAGAGGTACTATTATATTCACTAGAAGAGTGTATTATACACCTTCCTATTCATAGAAAACGATTGCTCCCAAACACGTGAGTCAGGTGAGCATAGTTTGTGTTGATCCGTTTGAACATTTTAATGTCCTTTCCTCCAAAAAAAGGAAGAGCCCAGCTCTAAAAAGTTTATGTCAATATTTTTATATTTAATCCAGTAAAAATATATATATAATATTTTGAATTAAACTTTTATATGAAAGTGAATCCTATGAGATTCGTTCGTAATAAAATATAAAGTATGTAGTAATTTCGTCCAAAATCGACCTCAGTTGACCCTATTTTTGATTGGTGGCTCAAAGATCACGCGTCAGAGAGAGACGGCAGGTATCTAGTGGCGTCCGAAAGTTAAAAGAATCACTGTTAACTTTATGGAGTAAGTGACGATAATCTGCTGGAATTCACCAGGCGAAGCGCCTTAAACAAAGCTGTTTGCCCTCGTGTTAATAAGGCCACATCAGGACGTTTTCCCGGACTTGTTCAAGTCGTACTTACCTGTGCTGTATCTCTTCGACATTACCTGTCACATCAGCTGCATGCAAACGGAGTTTCTCGTGTCTACATCGGCTGAAGATACCCGAGAACCAACTACCTGGATCTCTTGTCAATCAGCTTCATAGAAACCCACGTCAGCAGACTGGACACTGAGGCTGTGGCGCTGTTCTTCTGTTACTGGTGAGTTCATCGCTTTAAATTAACTGCTAGTTGTCAATTAGTACTAGTTTTATTGTTTGGACAGTTTGTGCATTTCGTCATCGTTTATGTGTTTGCCAGGCAATGTTCCATGCTTTCTATGTTGACCATGTTGACCATGTATGATAGATAATAAGATTATAGAGGAAGGTTAGTGCAGTTTGGTTACATGTGCTTTTTTATCAGTGGTTCCATTCTCTTGATAGTGATTGTTGTCTGATGAAAGTAGTGGTTGTCTGATGAAAGTGGCTGTTATGTGCAGGCAACTTGCAACATAAATGATGATGGTATTAATGTTGTAAGCCCAAGGTATCATTTTGTCTACTATAATGCATTTAGAAATATTTTGTATGGCTTCTGACTGTATAAAAAAGGCATTTTTGTGTGACAGTTCGTGGCTGCTTTGCGTTGTGTTGTTGTAGTAACATTACTGTCCTAACAGTCACAGTGAGGCATAAATACAGTCTTCAGCTCACTGAAGCACGTGCATGCATATAATGCTGGTTTGATCAAATGGACCTCAGGAGAAAAACGTTAGGCCCTTATTTTACATCAGTATAGCAAAGATTTGTACAAAATGTCATGATAATCCAACCAACAGTCTTCACTAAAGTGACGGACCAAACGCTGGACTTACATTGCCATCCATAAATCCATGGCTAAAATTGTAATATGTCATTATTAAACGTGTTTGCTGTTTTTCTTATTTGTTGTGTTGCTGGTCTATTTTATAATCCATGTTTTTTTTTTTTGTATTTCTCAATATATTCCTGCAAACTGCTTAACTGTAAACTGCATCTCCTAATGAATGGAAAGAAACGTGGCTTAATGGATCCAAATGTATCTGATGGATGAGTCGTGATGTTTTCCCCCTCTGATGTCTTGCCAAACAACTCGTGTTACTCTGTTATGCAAGAAGACGCCTTAAGGAAGTGTCCTTTTTTTTTCTAGCTTCATAGTCTTCTTTAGTAGTTCAGACACTGTTGCTGCAAATGATCTACCCCTATAAAAGCAGGTGGGTTGATTAATTGATTGATTGATCACAGACCAAGATGTGTTGTGAGGATCCATCTCCATCGCAATCAAAGACGGGGATATAAAGACAATTCGTTAGACTCGCATACAGCTCAGACAGATCTAAACCAGCCTGTCTGTTGGTTGTACAGCCAGCTACAGCTGCGTATGTTGACAAGTTTAACCCTGGCGTACCTGTCTAGAGACCAGGCACAAAGAAGAAATAAGATGAGACAATCTACCCTCTTTGACTTATCCACCCAGGGGTGAGAGTGTGTTTTCACAGGGGTAATACTCCAAAGCTGTGACCAGGGTGTAATGAGGGATTCTCTGTAATGGCCCCTCTAGCCGTTCCACATCACTTCCCCCTTTGCAATAACCGCTTCCTGCGCGATTTCATGGGAATTAAAGGGAGAAAGGTGTGTTTCATATGTAAAGCAGGTAGCTCTTGCTGAGATGTGAGATGGTTTGTGTGTGTGGATTCCCTCCCTCCCTTCTTCTCCCCTTCTCTCTTGGGTCGGGGGGGGGGGTTTGAGGTAGGCTTTGATCACTGGCAGAAGGTCGCTGTGGTTCAATTTCTGTGGCGCTCCTCTGAGACGTTTGCTCTGCAATTATAAACCATGTGAGAGAAGGCAGAGGGATGGTAATGTTCTCAGCAGCTACTGTAGTCCGCGTGTCAGTTAGCCAACAGCGAACATGAATCACATTTACAGTATGAGGCAGTAAGAAGGCATGTGGTACCACAGCAACCAGGACATGGGATGTTAAATCTATTTAATAATCTCTTTACTATGTAAGCTGTGTGGTTATAAGAGGCTCAATGAAGGACTGCAAGAGCACGAGGCTCTGAAATTCTGCTGGCTGCCCAGCCACAGCCTCATACATACTGTAGATAGCATAAAGTACTGACTTAAACTTGCTATAATGGATTTTTTGGCCACTTGGAGGCACCGGAAACAAGCGGCGAACACAGCATTTACATATTATCATCTTTTACGTTGATATGGCCAGTGTCTTATCGGAAACTATTTATAGGAAAACGCATACCTGTGAAATAATCATATCCGACCTCTTCTACAGGTCTATCCTATACAAAGAAAGTAAAAACATCTGAATGTATCATTTCCTTTTGGGTCACAAAACATGGGGATTGAATAAAACCACTGCAGAAATCTTGTTTTTTTTTCCTGCAGAAACTGGTGAATTATTACAGCTGCTCTGCCTCAAGGAGGAAATATTAGAAAAATTCAAACGCTCTCTGTTGTTCTCTATGTCATTAGAAGGTAGAGTGATTTGTATAATTTGTGTTTATAAAAGAGAAATAATTGAGAGAAGATGGGGGTTGATTCATGATGATAAACCGCTTCTGTAAAGAGGCCGTTGTTGAGGAATGATGAATTATTCTTCTTATGTTCAGAATAACTTATTTCCTTGTAGTTCTCTGTTCAACTGTATCTAACTGGTTCATTAACACCTCCTCATAAAATCTGTTAT